GCAAACGTAACACTCATCTGGGACACTATCTACTCCGCCCAGAAGAAGTGAAATTGCTCACGGCTAAGCAACTCCTTCGATTCATTGAAGACATAGGGCTTAGCCGTGAACTATAGACATAGCAGCGATCACAATAGATCTTCGCAGTGATACTGGTCTCTTTATCTAGACCTGCATAGGTGCTCGCATATAATAAAAAAGTAGTATTAGTAGAATAGAATAAGCAAGCTATGGAGCGCGTCAGCGAATATGAACAGTAAGCACGGGTATGAACAGTCTGATTAAAAAAATATGTATGTATTACTGTGAATACAACTAACAAAAAAATTGGTTGACCCTGCAGGCCATCCCTGGAGCTACCCGCTAACAAATACAGAGCACTCCAAATTTCACCAAATTATGACGTTGAATATGAAATATCGGAGTAATTTAAAAAAATAAATTTTTTCGTAAATTTTCGTTAACGATATCTCAAGAACGAATTAACCGATTTTGACCGGACCGGCGGCGATAGACGTGTTTTTTCAAGGTTAAAAGCTGATTAGTTTTTGGAATCGATCGGTAAACTACTTTACCGATCGATTCCAATTTACCGATCGAGTGTGTGTGTGTGTGTGTGTGTGTGTGTGTGTGTGTGTGTGTGTGTGTGTGTGTGTGTGTGTGTGTGTGTGTGAGTGTGTGTGTGTGTGTGTGTGTGCGTGTGTGCGTGTGTGCGTGCGTGCGTGCGTGCGTGCGTGCGTGAGTGCATGCGTGCATGTGTGTGTAAGGAGTGAGTGTTTGTTGTTATTTTACTTAACAGTTAGCATTTTTACCTATCTATATTTAATAATTTTTCAGTTTCCTCATTAGATCAAAACTTACTTAGTTAGAGCTTGCTTACATTTAAAACGTGTTATTGTATATATCGTTATAATATTGCTAATTTTTTTTTTATAAAGATAAGGTCCCAAGAAGTTTATGTGTGTGTTGGCTGCTCCCCGGGCAGAACAGCTTGCCCGGCGGGAGATCTCCCCTTTTCCTTCCACGGCCACAGTGGTGACCCCCCGACGTGATCTGAACACGCAACCAACAACTTTCGGAAACTTTAAGCTTCATCATCGTCATAGAATATCCCACCCATTCGCTCCCGAGCAGATATCGTCTGCAGTCTTCATATCCTGCAAACCATCTAGCTTCACAAGGTTCTTCGCAGCACTGGAATAATAATGCTTCCTTCAAACTCTCTGCGCTACAGTGTTCGGCACGGCTCTGAGCCTTACTGCTCGCCTCTGCTTCACGGCACTTTCGCAGTTTACTTACCTTCTTCTCGACTCACTGCAGACTACAAGGCAATCTCCTAGCACTTGCACATTCGTCGACAACGAGACTGCACTATCGACCTCCGGTCTGAGCAGGGGGGTGATGTGACATAGAATGAGTAAAATTTATCTGGTAGTATAATTCGATCTTTCCTTCTTAATTTTTGAAATAAATTTTAGTAACAGTCATTATAGTTGTGTGTTTTAAGTACAGATTTTGAAATAAATAGCTGTCGGACTGTAAGCACATTTATTTCAGAGAACAAATTACTTGTGGGAAACTTAAAAGGTTTAGAAAGCATAACTTTTACCACAGCTCTTTGAGATCTTTCAATGCGCAAGAATATAAGTTTTGTGAGTGCCTCACCAAGCAGTAATACAGTATCACAATAGAGAATGGCAGAAAGTATTACATATGATTTTATAATCTATATATCTAATAATCTCCTCATCGAGACCTATCTGTGCTAAACCAATGCATACCATAAAACCAAAATAACCATACCAGGAGAGTGCATGAAACAGTAAAACAGTGTTATCAGGATACGCAACAATTTGCATTGCAACAGCTGCGCATTTTAAGCCCACATAGATCATTCACATATATGAGGAACAAGGTAGGGCCAAGTATACTACTACCTTTAGGTACGCCGTAGTTAATATTATTATTTTCACTGGTTAAGCTTCCAATTCTTATAAGTTGAGTTCTATTTGATAGATAACTTGTGAACAACTTCAGATATATATCCCTGATACCTAGTTTTTCCATCTTTGCTAACAGTATCGGGACAGAGACGGTATCGAATGCCTTTGCGAGGTCCAAGAAAATTCCTACACATTTATTATTACTGTCAACATGTCTTACAAGAACTCTGTTAGAGATAAAACTGCGCCTTCAGTAGATTTTCCATTTACAAAACCAAATTGGTTTTCAGAAATTAAGTTATATTTAGAAAAATATGATTTTAAACGATTATTTAATAAACGTTCTAGAACTTTAGATAGTGGTGGCAGAATAAAGATAGGACGATAGTTACTGATACTATCTCTGTCTCCACCTTTGTGTATGGGTGTTATCAAAGCAACCTTGAACTGATCAGGAAACACACCTGATTCAAGACTCAGGTTACAAATGTGCACAATAGAGGGAATTATCAGGTGCTTAGTAGATTTAAGCACCTGGTTAGAAATGCCATCGTAGCCTGGTGCAGAATTATATTTAAGATTATTCAATAAACACTCAACTTCCAGTGGATCGGTGGGTCTCATGCCCAAAGATTGAGATTGATTTATTAAATTTGAGTCCGCTGTTGATGACTTATTCGTTACGTATTTTATTGAAATTTTGTCTGCTAGTTTCTTTCCAATGTTGGCAAAATACTCTTTAATATAGTTAATTGATTCGACGGGTTAATGGATTAAACTAAGAAGATTAGTATTTCAAGGTGTTACATTAGTATTCAGTTTAGCTATAATTTTAACTATTTTCCACTTTCTTTTATTATCAGTATGTACTAAGACGTATAACTAATATTAGTAATATTATTAATAGGCTAATACGAAACGAATAAAAAAATTGTTATTGTATTCAATGTAGCCCCCACGACATTATATATATTTTTATTAAGTGTACAATAATGAGCAGTATACACAAAACATAAAGTACTTTTTATAAACCGGCAGTATATAATAAAAGCCATAGTAAAAGTAACATGTCTCTTTTCCATTTAACACCGTCCAACATTACACGATTCACGGCAGAAAACTCAGACGAATTATGAATAACAAAACACTGATTTTAACAAAATTAATTATGGTGTGAAAGGATGTAGCGGGAGAAAGGCGACCGGGGCGACACAGCACGTGCTTCCGCGCCCCGCGCTTCGTGCTTTGCCCAAATTAGAATTAATGCTGTACCGAGTTCTACACAATGATTTCAAAAGGAAGGATAGGCCCATCTAAATATTTTACTCATACTTAACTTTTTTCATACAAGAAAAAGTAGCGCATCTGTCATAATACAAACGTCATATCAAAACACGACGTAACCAGGGTCGTATTTCGTAGTATAATTATCCTAATTGTACATTTTTTATTACATTATTTCATAGTTTGTAGTACATAGTATCGTAATAATACTGGGCGAAAATATCATAATTTTACTTAAAGGTCGATTTGTATTATTATTGGGTACTTTTACATTTTAATATTAACCCTACGATATAAAGAATTTCTGTATTGTACATGAGTACCGCGTTTTTTTTTATAAAATTAGAATTAGCTCCCTTTCTGGTCAATTGATGCTCGATCGTAGTATTTCTTTGGTACTCTTTTCGTTTATCCTTATTCAATATAAAATATATTAGGTACCAATATTCAAAATTTAACTTACACTAAGTTCTTCAGACAAAAATTAAACAGAAATAAAAATAAAACCGTCAAAAAAAAAACAAACTAGACGCGTGACGCCAAAATCCCGGCACATGGGAAAAAAGAAACATGAAACGTCAAACGTGATATAATTTTTTTTAAATAATATAATTTTATTTTCCATGTAAAATATTTTGAGGGCCTGAATCCAACCCTGGCGTAATCTTGGTAACGTAACTAAACTAACTGTAAAATAAAACTTTAAAAATGCGTTTACATAATAATTTAATTGTAACAAAATTAATATAAGGTTATTTACCGATGATACGATATCCCATGTTTTTCTTTATCTCTGTATCGTAATTTTTGCATTCTTTTACCACGAAACTAGACATATTTGTGACAGGCAAATCTGTCCTGCGCGCGCACTAACTGTCGACCGATTCGCGTTGGCCCTAAACCTTAATTTTAGGACCAACGCATTGGTCCGTTTTAGTTGTTCGGTCGGCCCGGTACTTACGCTAGTAATATATAAGTCTATGGTTCTACACGAATATTTTGTAATAATATGATTTGTTTCAATATATGATTAAGAATAATATAATAATAGTATAAGAAATTAAGATAGTTTAAGAATTAAGTTTTTAAAACTTGACAGCGTTGTTATATAGGTACATAATAATGATATATGTGGTTAAAATACTTTTCTAATTTCAGATTTCTGAAAAGCAGTGAATCAGCAAATAAATTGATAGTAGTAATAAAAAGCCCAACTGGAAGCCATTCATCCATTTTTAAACCAAGGGTGGACTGCGCAAGCTTCAGAGCTTAAATTGGAAGTAAGATTACATGGTAGAGCCATGCGGCAACTATACTATGGTTGTAGGACTAATGTAAAATAGTAGCTTAATGCTGCTGTGTTTGTCTGGTGAGTGTAGAGAACCAGACACTTTTTACTAGATACGAGGCATTTCATCTTAAGACTCAGAGGTGGCAATGCATCTGCATTTTGATTCTTAATTGAGGATAAGTGTAGATGTCTATAAGCCACAGTATGGATGAAGATATAGATGTCTATAGATGTCTACAACGATCCTCGATTCTAGTAAAAAGGGTCTCTGGGTTTCTACAATCACCATATGAAGCACAATAGCATTAAGATGCTATTCGACTCCCCAGTCGAGCAGACCTATTCGTCCTACAACCATAATATAGTTGCAGCATGTCTCGATCTACATATAAACTACACATATTACAAAATGTAAGTCCATAAACTCAAATATAATCTGCGCAATTGATATAAAATTTATAAGATGAGTACTCAACACTCACAATTCTCTATTCTTCATGGCCTGGGCGCACACCTCGCCCCAAATGTATCCCCCCACTGAAAACCCGTGCACCACCATCGGTTGCCCGTTCTCGTTCGCGGACATCAACTTTACCAGATCAGCCGCTACTAACTGAAACAATGGTTTATGTAATTTAAAATGAAATTCTCCATCTGTCAGTCGCCAGCAAGCGGACTGTCGAATGCAGTAACAGATTGAATTGCTTTGGCTGAAACCTTATACTGATCAAACAAGTCAGAGTTTCGAATTTTAACCCTCACTTTTATCGATCTTTGTTGTTTCTATCCACTATCTCCGACAAAACGTCCAAAAAACAGCGCGTTTATTCGGTTTTTGTAATTTTTTGTAGGTCGATTACAAAAAAATCGGTATATTTTATTTATTAATTTACTCTTTATTGCATTCCTTAATATATAAGAACACAAGGGCGGACTTAATGCCTTGAGGCATTCTCTACCAGTGGTGTGGTGAGAATTTGACGTAAGTGTGGCAACATAGAATAAAAATAAAATAAAAATGATAATTAACTACGTAATATATAAATTTTACTGATATATAAAATAAATAAAGTATAGAATTTTTCTTCACAGCCGAGCACGTGGTTAATCTATTGTATTCATTGGTGCTGGCGGGGATCGAACTTGGGTTGATCGCGTACTGCTAAAATTTACAGCGAGCGCTTAGCCCCTGAGCTACTAGGGTTAAGCTTTTTTAATTGCTCCATGGTAATGTCAGTTTCCAATATATCAGCATAGTCTATATAACAGGCAACAAAATGGAATATGCTTACGCAATTTTGATAGAGATGGGCAGGAAATTTCGGAGTCTCTTAAGTCATATGGAAATCCATAAGCTGCAAAAAATTTCTTGCTTACTTATATGTTCAGTTTGAGGTACTCAAGAAATCGCATTGTCATTTAAAACCCTTAGATTTTTTACAACCTTACTGTAAGGAATAGCAGCATTTTCAAAACAAACGAATGGCAGCGTATGGCAAGTAATTTTTTGAAGTAGTTTGTTCGCGTTTTACTAGGGTTAATCTTAATTCAAAAATAAATGCAAAATTAATGAAATACTTGCAAGATCACAATTTTAAAATTAATTTTTAGGTATATTTCACGGCGGATGGAAGAATATAAATGACGAAGGTAGTTTTTATAGATGCCATTAAACATAAGTTATGTCTATCATAAATTTGCAGTTCGTTGTAATAACTACTGACAATAAAAGAATCACGTCCACGTGACTAAAATAACTCTAAACACTTTTTTGCTACCAGCAGCTTATCATTATAACAGAATTTAATCCTAGTTTGTTATTATATTAATATACGTCTCGAGTTTTAAAAACCGAGAAATCTATTAAACTTTATGAACTAGTACTAACTACTTTTTTTTAAATAATTATACTCAACACTAGGAGTTTCTCCTGTATCGTGGAGGCAGTTAACATATATAAATTTAACGAGCACAAACATCCAGACCCGGAACAATTATTTGTTGGTCAAACGGAGTGAAACTACGACTGAAATAAATAGAAAAAATATATTAAAAACATTCGAATGGTGTTGCAAATCACGCTAAGAGAGCACCCACAGTAAAAACATTATATCGGGAGACCTGATTATTGATCACACCTGAGAGCCTTTAATAGGCCAGATGAGCTGCCAGGGAGTGCAGGAAACGGAGATCACGTCGAAGCCCTGGTTCAAATACAGCGATGCGTACTTCATCACGTGCTTCTGACGCGCCAGCAGCCAGTTTATCATGATACAGATAGGTCTATTCAATTGCTTGTCCAACCTAGAAACAATAGATAGATAGGTAAGGTAGGTAGACCAAAAGATAGGTTGATGTTTTTTTGACATGGATGAGCCACGGTACACGTGATATGACCGTGGAACTCGTCTAAAACACCGGCATGAAATAACAGCATTTTATCAGCTTTGACTGGTAATGAGGTATTCCATCTTAGTCCCGAGGGGTGACAACGGATCTGCATTTTGATTCATAATTTTATGGGCCGCAGCATCCACTCACCATCACGTTAACTGTGTGATCCCTTGTTACCCTTATTCTATAAGTATCGTATTTATGGTGAATGAAGAGAACCGGAGACTTATTAACATTCCATTTTAGTTCTCCGGGTTACTACAACGTATCTGCATTTTGATTCATAATGGAGATGTCTATAATAGGCTGTATTGTCTATGGTAGGCTGGCGTGGTCCTACCCCAGTCGAGTCGGCCCATTCGTGCCGCGCCATAATATACGTACTTGCAGCGTAGCTCTAACATGTATAGCAATCTATACGTGTAATATATATATACTATACGTATAGATACAGATCAAGATCAAGAACATCACGAATGTAAGTAAACATGTAACCAAGAAAATGTTATGGCCCGGCACCTGGGCACTGAATGGTCTGTGTCTCTATTGATAACTGAGGAAACACTTTTTATAGGATATGGGTCAAAAACAAGCATACAGTCCACCTCGTCGTAAGTGGTTTCTGTGGCCCATAGACATCTACATCTGTCCTCGACTACGAATCGAAATTACGATACGTTGTTACTCGTGAGGACTAAGATGGAATGCCTTGTTCCCGTAAAAAGGGTATCAGGTTCTCTACTCGTCATACAAAACACAGCAGCATTAACTACTTGGCATTATGTGAGAGCGATGGTGCTTCTCCGGTCGAGTCGACCCATTCGTGTTACAACTATACTACTAGAGCTGTTGCATGCCTCTACCGCGTAAAGAAACAAATTTACGTCAATGGATATGACCATATGCCGACAAAATTAGTACGTACAGCGGTTGAACAGCTCAGCTACTATTACAGAGCTCAATTAGTAATCGAGACCGTTTCAATTAGGGCAGGTCCCAAAGCGATGACAATAACAATGGATTAACCTATTGAGCAAGTGGCTTGCTGACTGCCGACCGAATGCAAATGAGCTTCGATATCTTTATCTAATTTTAACATAGTATTGTAAACATACAACAAAATAGCGTCTTAATGCTGCTGTTTTGTGGAGTGGAGTGTGTTTGTTCGTGGTAGAGCCATGCTGCAGTTATATTAGTGGTATAGTTCTCACAGAATACCAGCGTGAAATGGTAGCTTGATGCTGATGTGTTTCGTATGGTGAGTGTATTTATAATAATAAGAGAACCGGAAACTCTTTTTACTGGAAATGAGGCATTCCATCTTAGTCCTCATGGGTGACAACGCATTTGCATTTTGATTCGTAATGACGATAGATGTAGATGTCTATGGGCCACAGCAACCACTTACCATCAGGTGGACTATGGGCTCGTTTGTCACCCTATCCTATAAAAGGTCAGTATAGAGAACCGGAGACCCTTTTTACTGGAAGTTAGGCATACCATCTTAGTCCTCAGGGGTGACAACGCATTTGCATTTTGATTTTTAACCAAGGATACATGTCTATGGGCCACAGTATTCATTTATCATCAGGCTGACTGTGTGTTCGCTTGTCACTCAAAAAACCACGCTTTGCGTCTTCTGACTCCGACGGCTCCGTGGTGTAACGGCATAGCAATGAGTTGCGACGCTGAGGGCCGCGGGTTCAAATACTACAAATATTTGTTCCGGATAACTGCCTCCACGTACAGGAGAAAATCGTAACGTTTTATTTAAAAAGATCAATTAATATGTTATCTTTATGTATAAGAATCAATTGCTGTCCGTTCTAAAGTCTCGTAAAAAATCTAAAACTGCTGGATCGATTTTGATGATATGTTTTGTGTGTGTTTGAGTGCGTTCCTAGATGGTTCAGATTAAGAACTGAACCCGGTAGGTGGTGTTGTCGTCGAGATCCATAAATCACCCGTGTGAATCCGGGGTGGATCAATAGTATAATAAATATGTTATTTAAAACTACGAGTAACTTGCAATGTGCAGAACTCAACTGCCTATCTGCTAAATGTGTTCAAATTTTATTTAATCATTTTAGAGATGGAATATATTATGGTATAGATTTTTTTTTTCATTTTTAAATAACAGAAAGATTTATAAATGAAAGAGATGTCATGCTAAAACTGCAAAACAAAACCTTGTAATACCTATCCGATAGTTCACGTGGTAGAGCCATGCTGCAGCTATATACGAGGGTGGATTGAAAAGTACTCGGCCTAACACAGATCCATTCAATTCTAAAAATCAAATCTACCCACATTATTTAGTTCAGTTCAGACTAGTTCATTGTGTGAAGTTCGAAACGTGTGCGATAATTAGTTGTGATTTTATAAATTTATTAACAAAGTAATCGGACATAATTTCCGCGAATGGAGCAAATCGAGCAGCGTGCCGTCATTAAGTACCTCCATAAGAAGGGGCTATCATCAAAAGCCATCCAAGATGACATGGTCAGTACATTAGGCGATTGTGCTCTGTCATATTCATCCGTCAAAAAATGGATAGCAGAATTTAAGCGTGGTAGAGAGTGTGAAAGATGAACCCCGCTCTGGAAGGCCTTCGACGTCAACTACTGACGAAAATATTAAAAAAGTACTTGATTTAATAATGGAAGACCGCAGATTAAAAATTAGAAAGATAGCCGAGATTATAAGCATCTCTTATGAACGAACTCAAAACATCATTGTCAACGAGTTGGGTTTCCACAAGGTGTCTGCGAGGTGGGTTCCGCGACTGCTTTCAGTTGAACAAAAAAAGGACGCGATTGACTATTTCACGCGACTGTTTGGAGTTATTTGAAGCCGATGCAGATGATTTTTTGAATCGTTTTGTTACTATGGACGAAACATGGGTTCATTACTGTACACCGGAAACAAAACAACAATCAAAACAGTGGAGAAGACCTGGTTCACCACCCCCTAAAAAGGCTAAGTCGATTTTGTCGGCAAATAAGGTGATGGCTTCAGTATTCTGGGACTCGAAAGGTGTGATTATGATTGATTATCTTGAAAGGGGTCAGACTATAAACTCTGATTACTACTGCACCTTACTACGTCGTTTACGAGAGGAAATAAAAGAAAAACGTCGAGGAATGCTCAGAAGAAAAGTCCTGTTTCATCAAGATAACGCCCGTGTTCACACGTCAGTACAGTCAATGGCTGAAATTCACAACTGTGGCTTTGAACTGTTACCGCATCCGCCGTATTCACCTGATCTGGCACCATCAGACTTCTTTCTGTTCCCTAACCTAAAAAAGCACTTGGGAGGTCAAAGATTTTCGACAAACGACGAGGTCAAAGCAGCTGTAGACGCATATTTTGACTCTAAGGTAGAATCATTTTTTTTCAACGGTCTAAATGCTTGGAAGGGGAGGTGGCAAAAGTGTATTGAACTTGATGGTGATTATGTAGAAAAATAAAAATATAACTGATTTAGTATGTGTTTATTTTCTTGGTTAGGCCGAGTACTTTTCAATCCACCCTCGTATATTATGGTTATAGCACGAATGGGTCGACTCGACCGAGGAAGGACCACGCTCTCACATTCTGTGAATTGTAACACTGTAAATTGTTGTTCCGTAATATGGTAGACATTTTTACATGGTAGAGTCATACTACAGCTATTGTGGTTTAAACAAGAATGGGTCGGTTCGACCGGGGAAGGATACACCTCTCACAGAATATTAGCGTAAAATAGACAGATTAGCGTGAAACAGCGAGTTTACAGAACCCTTTTTACTGAATCATCTTAGTCCTCAGGAGTGGTAACGCATCTGCATTTTGATTCTTAATCGAGGATAGATGTAGATGTCCATGGGCCAAAGCATCCACTTACCATCAGGTGGACTGTGTGCTCGTTTATCATCCTTATCCTTTAAAAAATCCGTTACAGCCTTTAACGGTGGTCTTTAGTACCGTTGAGAACAGGCTTCCCCTATAGTTTACCTCATATTTTTTGTATTTTTGCGTTTTGCCATCGTTGCCCCGTTTGACAGGTTGTCAACTGCAGTTTCTTTATTATTTTAGTGTTATCAGGAAGATGCTGCGCCCATCTCCTGATACAGTTTCCCTCTATCGCCTTCTACTACACTCACCGAACGATATGGGGTAGTGGATATTCATACACCGTCACAACACGGTTTGTGGTGCCATGCTTACACAACGTGAAATACCCAAATCAACAGCAGCTTTGGGCAGCAGCGTCAAAGATACGAGACTTCTGGAACTATTATTATCAACCTGTCTATCAAGCGTGTCGATTAGAGAAAATTCTCCCTACAATGTAAGGGGTCCATGGCCAACAGCAAACTGATAAAGAAAAGCAATCGGACAAGTAACTTTTACACGGCATACATAACTTACTTTAAGGTATTTGGATCGGCGGTGAGCTTGACGGTGTCGTTAGTGATGTACTGTATGTTTTTGGTGATATCCTGACTGTGTGCCCCGCGGTCGAACCTCACCATTGCAACCGGCGCGCACGAGAGAAGCGGTCGAAGTGTCGACTGTGAAAAATATTTTTTTATTAAATACAAAAACATTCTCCATGTCTTATGTAGTGTAATTATATTACGTGGTAGAGCTGCAGTTACATTACTGGTGCAGTTTGTTTGTTTTTTAGATTATTACTGGTATAGTTGTAGCATGAATGGGTCGGCTCGACCGGAGAATGACCACGCTCTCATAGGATACCAGCGTAAAATAGCAGCTTAACAATGCTGTGTTTCTTATGGCGAGTGTAGAGAACCGGAGACCCTTTTTACTGGAAACGAGGCATTTCATCTTAGTCCTCACGTGTGACAACGCATCTGCATTTTGATTCGTAATCGAGGATAGTGTAGATATATATGGGCCACAGCAAGCACCATCAGGTGGCTCCGTGTGTTCGTTTGTCTCCGTTCTCCTATAAAAAAATACTTGTCACCTATCCCTGAAAACACATGTGTCCCTAAAATAAGCCTACTTACATTACTTACTTACAATAAAAGTGTAATAATGTGTGCACTGCTGCCTACGAATAATTAAATAAACAAATAAGTCGAGAAATTTCAATTAATATCAAACGAAATATTAAAGTGCATGGGCGAAAAATAAAATATTTTTTATCCAATATAGATTATGCTAGTCACCTACCGTGCCTACTCACTACACTTTTAAAGTCATTTAATGCTTTTACCACTGGTTCTGAAAATAGTATTTGCCTTAGCAATAACACGCAGGACGTTTTTAATACTTATTTACAATGTTGTACGTAGAAACAACATAGTCGTCTCTTACGACACACACTGGATTAATAGGGCAATTTATTCGCTTAGGTTCGCCGTTCTTCAGTTAAAATGTATTTTTTTTTAATGGAAATAAAGCCAACAAGCACCTAGTATACCTGATGCGGTGTTGTGGCCCATAGACACCTACATCCACATCTCATCTATCCTCGATTAAAAAACAAAATGCAAAATGTAAACACTACCGACCAAATTAACGACATATTAAAAATGGGCCAAACTTTAGATGGATGTAAAGGAGGCGAGAGAGCTGTGTCAAGAATCAGGATCGTGCCAAATGGAGTTCGTAGTCTCTGCCTACATCTCTAGGTGAAAGGCGTGATTGTTATGTTACAAACACCTGTTCCGTACTGGATCTAAACCTACGAACCCGCAACGCCGCGCCGCAGCCAACACTCGGCCACTGCTACTAGACCGTCTACACGTTTCCTTTTTATTATGAGGCGTTTTTTAATCTACAAAATATCATACAAAAATCGTTTTGGGTCCTGAATTGGATGGACAGCCTACATAAAATAACTATTTACGATAATTGCTCCACAACGCTCATGGTAAAGGTTTTTATTTACACTTCTATAAACTGAAGGTTAACTATGAATTAGGACGTCGAACGCCTTAGTACCTCGCTCCCATAATTATTTCGGGTAAGGATGTTTCTCCTTTGTAATTTATGTATGAAAACTGCCTCCACGATACAGAAGTAAATCCTAACGTTTAATAAAAAAAAGAAAAAGTGTCAAATTATTTTCAAGATTGTCAGCCTATCACAATACCTCAGTATCACTATGGCCTATACGTGTGAGGACGTGTGACAATGAAGAGTGAATGTTTATTCAATTCGTGCACCTATATGCACATAGCCCACCTGTTGGTGAGTGGATGCCGTGGCTCATAGACATCTACATCTATCATCGACTAAGAAATGAGGAATAAGGTGGTATGCCTCGTTTTCAGTATAAAGGGTCATCTAGCTGTCAACAACAAAAATGCCGCCATAGTAAAATAAAGTAAAGTTACAGTCTATATAAGTTGTGAAACTTAGTGGTGCTGAATAGACTTCCTCTCATTTCTGGGAGGGTTCAAGGGAAAGGAAATTTCCGTCGCGCAGTCCTAATACGTGTTGGCAGACTTCACGTGTCTTACAAATATATTTCTTTTTATTTCTGAGATAAGCAGGTTTCCTCACGATGTTTTTCTTAACCGCCGAACACGTAGTAAATCAGCACGTATCATTGCAATAATTTCATTGGCGCCGGCGGGGATCGAACCAGAGTTGCTCGCGTACTGTATAAATTACAGCGAGGGCTGTCCCCGAGCTACTACGGCTCCATGAACAGAATCAATTAAAAGGACATCATTAAACGCTACCTAAGTACTTACATATCACTTTACAGACACGTGTCATACCTCAATAGTCAAAGTTCATTGTCATATTATGTGTGATAAAATAAACTATGAGTCATTTTCTTTACTAACTTGAGTACCTAATGAAATACATTTAAACATTTTTCGTTTTCTATGCCATTATTATAATGAAAAATTAATTTTACGAATTTTTCATGTTTTATTTTAACTATCTTCATAATATCAATAAATAAGACGCTTGGTCACGGGAAGGGGAGGACTGAGCTGTTTCACGTCCCGATGTCCGTCAAACTGCATAGTGGTAGCTCAGCCGCTAATTTAATTATTGATACAACACATGTACGCATATAAACAG